AAGAAATGAAATAATTGATGTATTTCCATATTATCAGGCCAAAAATCATGTCGAATTAAACTTAGGCTAATCAAAAGGATGATAACTTTCCGACCAAAAAGAAAAAGGAGAATAACTTTTCGTGATTTAATGTGCTAGAGCCTGTTTTTCTTCTTTTTTCTATAAGGAACTCCTATCATTAAAAGGAAAAAGAACGCCCTTTTCTTATTCGACGGTGAAATACCACCTTTTGTTCCTCCTAGGTCAAAGAGATAGCGTGTCCTTGCGGGTAAATCGTCCTTTTGCTCGACACCAAAATCCCTACCACCCCCCATTCAGAATATAATTCATATCTTTCCACGTCATTATTAGTCAAGATTCCAAGGCAACCACTTGCCGGCGGACGAAGCCAAATATTATTATTTATAGCTTTTTTGTCTTTTCTATTCAGCTATTGATAAATGCTAGCTGTCAAGTACTAAGAAGAAAAAATTGAAAGAAAAAAAAAGTGAGATAAAAAATTGAGTTTTTCTTTATGAGTGTTCTCAATCTATTTGTACCCCGATTTTGATAGAAGATCGTCATTGTATTCTCACTTTCTTCAAAATCTAGTGGATTTACATAATGTCTTTGCGCGGAGATGTAACTCAGGTTTGGGTGAACTTCGATAACAAATTCGCAGAACTTTGGATTGTACTAGAAAGAGGGAAAACACACAAAGTTTCACAGAGCCACGTTCATTCAAACCAAAAGCCAAAAGGACTTATTTAAAGGCAAAATTGTTAGAAAACGTGTAATGGGATGTGTCGGCTGTTGGAAAATATGCTCCTTCGAATTGTAGAAGAAAAGAAACTTCAACTTCAAACGGGATGAATAACAAAGTCGGACTTTGAGACGTAATATCACTTTCTTTAAGGAATTATTTACCCCACGAAGTTACTAATGGTCAACGACAAATTTTGTCCAGGATACAATAAAATCTCGATTGAGAATACCAAATAAATTTCGATATATCTTCAAGGTTTTTCTAGGAAAACAATTAGAAAGAATGGCTGCTCTTTTTTCTGAATGAAAAGGTGTCTAAACATCCAAATGAAGAGACTTGATATTCAACCATACAAAAACTGACTCACTAATCACACCCTTTCAAACAAAGGCGTCCCTTCATCGAAAAGATGTATAGTGAATTAGTACAAAATCAAAAGTCACGTTGAAAAAAGATATATGAAAAATTGGAATAAAATAATAATAACAAATAATAATAATACTATATTTTATTAATTCCGAATTTCATAAATAAAAATGAAATAATAAAATAAACAGGGATTAGTGCTAATTAAGGTCTGCGACCGCACAAAGTGCTAAGTGCGCCTAATAATCGCGAACCCGCACGCGGATATTAAGAAGTCTAGTCCACACCCTATTGTCCTCACTTTAACGAGCAAGAAGACACTCATTCATATAAATTGGCACACCTTCTCAAAACTTTCCTACGTGGGACAAAAGAAAATGCACTATTTTATTTATTTTACAAGCAAACAACCAACATCGGCTTCAACGGGATGACTCCAAGATAGTTGATGTCCAATAAGATGTTCTCTGGGACCATAAACCAGACAAAAATAGTTGAAATGTCGCAATCACATAGAAAAGCAGCCAAGTAACACCAATCTATCTCTTCGATCGAAAAGAAAAAAACACCAATCTATTTGTACCTCTATAAAAGTATTGGCAGATTAGGTTTAAAGTATAACTATTTGGGGTTACAATATCTATATAAAAAAAAAATACAAAAAAGGTGATCAGAACTTCAAGGAAGGAGGACAAAGAAAACATGATAACCAAATGGAAATTGGAATTCCATTATGATCTCATGTGCATTTAAGTTGTGTTTGCGTAATTGTATAATAAGAAATTTGGTTCGACGATCAAGAAGAAGCTGGTATGAAAACCTACTTTAATTCTGAATATTTTGGAAAACTGAAAAGTGTGTGTGTATATATATATATAGTGTTAGGAATTAACGACTTTGTTTTCAAACGGAATTAAAAAAAGAAATGAAATAATTGACGTATTTCCATGTTATCAGGCCAAAAATCATGTCGAGTTAAACTTAGGCCAATCAAAAGGATGATAACTTTCCGACCAAAAAGAAAAAGGAGAATAACTTTTCGTGATTTAATGTGCTAGAGCCTGTTTTTCTTCTTTTTTCTATAAGGAAGTCCTATCATTAAAAGGAAAAAGAACTCCCTTTTCTTATTCGACGGTGAAATATTGCCTTTTGTTCTTCCTAGGTCAAAGAGATAGCGTGTCCTTACAGGTAAATCGTCCTTTGCTCGACACCAAATCCTTTGCTCGTCACCAAAATCCCCACGACCACCCATTCACGATATAATTCATATCTTTCCACGTCATTATTAGTCAAGATTCCAAGGCAACCACTTGTTTGCGGATGAAGCTAAATATTATTATTTATAGCTTTTTTGTCTTGGCTATTCAGCTATTGATAAACGCTAGCAGTCAAGCATCGAAAAGAAAAAATTAAAAGAAAAAAAGAGTGAGATAAAAAAAGTGAGTTTTTCTTTGTGAGTGTTCTCAATCTCTTTGTGTCCCGATTTTGAGAGAAGATCGTCATTGTATTCTTATTTTCTTCGACATCTAGTGGATTCGCAAAGTGTCTCTGCGCGGAGACGTAGCCCAGATTTGGGTGAACTTCTATAACAAATTCTATGGTATATTCTTTCGATTTTGTCTTTTATTATTATATTATGTTAGTATGGATTGTTTGCTTGGGTTACTTTTCTAGAATGGGTGTGCGATTCCTAACACCACTCAAGCGCTCTCGATATGTTTCATATTCTTTTCACGCGATTATTAATCAAGATTCCAACACAATAGTTAAAAGCGCCATATAACGACAACCCGTTTTGGGCCACATTTCAAAGCACAATCACAACACACATGGTAGATCCCGGCGATGAGCATGGCGAGGTACAACGACCCCATGAACGATTGGAGACCCTGGGAAGAATCTCTTCAGGAAATGAGGCCCATGGGCCTCCTCTTGTGTAAATGAGTGGATGAATTTCATTACAAGTAACATAATATTGACATTTTTACCTAGTATCCATTTGTTTCGCGAATAATATTTTCCGAAAAAGTATTTTTCTCATTTTCTGGCGTTTGGATCTTTTAGGAAAATGTGTTCCTTTTCAATGGAAAATGTTTTCCTACTATAGATTAAATCCAAGAAAATGATTTCCTCTTTTAAATATCATAAATCATTTTCCAAAATATGATTAAGTATCGACGCTTGGACAAAAAACGTTGCGCTCGGGCATGGGAACCCCAAGGCTCGTTCACGGGCCCTTGGCAGTGGAGCCAGGTCCTCACCGCCTGAACCCGAGTCCATCGAGGTCAGGCCCGGGTTCATCGAGGTTGTGCCAGAGACCCCGGTTGCCATGCCTGGGTCCATTGAGGCTAAGCCCGGTAACATCGACTTGTGCTTGGGTTCATCGAGGCGGGGCCCCAACTTTCGAACTCAGGTCTATTGAAGTCGAGTTCCCTGCACCCATGCCTCAGTCCATTGATGCTAGGCCCGAGTCCATCGAGACTAGGCCAAGGTCCATCGAGATCGTGCCCATGACCTTGGTGCTCGTACCGGATTCCTTGGCTACCCATATTCAAGTCACTAGTGCTCGAATAATGTATGTCTTTTTAGGAAAATCAAAAGAAATTTTCTTTACCAAATGATGAAAAAATATTTTCCAGTTCACTCTTAGGTCTTAGCAAAACACCAAAAAATATTATCATTGTCCTAGAAGATGACTTTTCGGAAAATATTATCAAGAAATGTTACATTTTTCATTAAACAAACGGAGCCTTAATGTACTTATAATTATTATGAACAAAAGTGCATATGTACATGTGCAGTTGGTGAGATTTGGATGTCAATCCAAAAACTGCATAAATACGAAGATAAGTGATGTTAAATTATATCGTATTATAGTCAAGAACCGACAAAGCCAAATCTTTTTTTTTTTTTGTGTGGTTTGATTCAGTATAATTGTTCTTTCTTCTTTCACTTTTTTTCTCTCCATCTTTTGTAATTCCATGAAAAAAAAAACCAAATTCTACACTCACAACCGTTCATATATCCACACAAAATGAAAATCAAACCTAGTTCAATAGGCTACTTAATATAAGGATGGTAAAACAAATTTAACAAAATTAATTATTTATGTTGGCACTTGAATTTTCGTCAACAAATTTTTTTTCAAAATTCATTGCTTTAATTCCTTTTTAGGGCATTGGATTCGGGGATTGTAATAATTCAAGATTCCAAGCCAATTTCAAGATTTTGAGTTCAAACTAGTTGGCCATCCTTCGAACGCGAGTTTAAGGCTATGATTAACTTTTCTCAATCCCATTAAGCCAAATTAAATCAATTTCAATATCAACTGGACACAATAAGGATAATTTAAGGAAGCAAGCTTAAAACGACGCATAGGGACCAATGGGGTCGGGCCAGGTCAACTCGGTTGGCCCGACCTGGTTCGGCCCAATGAGTCGCAGCCCAATTCGGCCCAATGGGCTAAACAAATAGATGGCCAAGCTTATTAGGTAATTTGAAGTAAAATAGAACGATTGGGAAACCTCGGGTCAACCCGGTTTGACCCGGTCAACTCATTTTGACCGAGGTTGACCCGAGTCAATTAAGTCAACAAATTCTAGCCCATAGACCCATCGCTGGCCACCTCACTCCCTAATTACCAAAATACCATTATCTCAAATTATCCAAGTCATCAATCCTTCATAACCCTAATCATGGCCATCAAATTTTCCACCTAATTTTAGCCATAGATGGTACGATGCCACCCATCAATATGCATAAACAAGGGCTAATCACCTCTTTCCTTACTCATTAAGAAAAGACCTTAGGGAGCAAGACTAATTATATCAACATAATTGCGATGATAATTAGTTGTCCAACCTTGTCCAAGGCGCCATTCTTCGTCTCTTCCTTAGGTCGGTTGTAAGAACCCCAGCCTATTTCCTGTTTGCATCAAGAGCACAAGTTCATCTGTTATGGCTTCTTCCCCTTGACTTTAGCTAACACCATTCCAGCCATATGAGGAAATGGATCAGCATCTATCTCCATGGAAGCTTGTCCTTTATCGTCGGTAAATATGATTTTACCTTGCTGGATTGCTTCCTAAACATTTTTTTTTAAATAATGCAGTTGGCAATATTATGGCTTCATGAGTGGTTCCATTTATTAATATTTTTTGTTTTCTAATCCTTCTTTGATTGGTATAGTTTGGCCTTCAGTCAATTTTATCGGGCCATCTTTTAAGAGTAGATCGAAGATCTCATCCGGTTTATGTCAAATGAGTAAACTTGAGTATCTTTTGCTTTGATAGTTTCTTTGAATTTTTCTTTGACCCTAGCCGGCTTTAATGCTTGACAAACGTGCGGTTTGTCTATGGCCATTTTTGCCACAGCAATCTCAACATTTTCTTCTTGGTCTAGTTCTTCTTCAAAATCGTAACTTTCTACAAAAGCCATGTCATGATTATAGTCTTTATATGGCCTTTTGTCTTTCTCTTTTAAAAGATTTTCATGCCTAGTTGCTCTTGGTTGTTAATTAGAACAAATCATTGAACGGGTGACCTTCAAATCTTTCTCTTATAGCAAATTTGAGACCACTAAAAGCCAAGTCATTGAAAGTTTTCTCCGAAAGCAAAACAAGACAACAATTTCTTGATTTCTTGAAGCGAGCAATACACTGGTCTACCAACTTATTATTGTATTGTTTTCTACTAGCCAAATCTGCAATGGTTGCACCACGGACCGATCTATAGAATTGTGCATGAAATTGTGCTTCCATTTGTTCCCAATCCTAAATCGAATTGGCCGGTAGAGTGGTATACCAAGTAAAGGCAGTCTTAGATAAGGATAAAGGAAATAGCCTTAATTTCCAACTGTCTTCTTAATCAACATCATCACATTGTATAGTGAACCGACCGATGTATTCCACTGTCAACCGATCGTTTTAACTAGTAAACAAAATGAAATCAACGATTTAATAACCTCTCTGATAAGATATCGCATCCATCCACTCTGCCGGATATGGTTTTTTATACATGGATCTAATGGTCCCTCTGTCATACCCTCTGCATCGTACCACTTGGTCGACTAAACAGCTGAACATTTTAGGGATCTTGCCCCAAGATTGCTTGACCATGTTGCCTTCCAGGTAGATATGGTGGCCTACCCTAGTTATTGATCACAACATTAGACTTTTGGAGTATATACCCTGGGTTAGGGTGAACTACCGCTTCTCCTAAAGGCACATGACCTTCCTGCCCCTTAGGCAAAGATGGTGGTCTGACTTGATTGTCGATTTGGGCCTATAAGGGACATATCCGGCATTAGGTTGGGGTTGCTACCCCGATAGGCCGTGCGTTATCATATATGGTACTGGTCCAACTGGTCGTGCATTCTCCATACTTGACAAAGGTGTATGTTGCCGGGCATTTTGATTTACTGCATTGCCATTATTATTTTCATTTAAGTTGGTTTGAATGGGGTTAACTAAGTTGTTCCCATTGACAGGCTCGACCTCATTAACATTATTTTCAGTTGAACCAATGATTTCAGGCCTTTGTAAAATCCTAACCGATGGTGGACACGGAATTACTTGGCCTACTGTGCCAAAAGCATACTGAGCAGAAGAGAATGGAGGAAAGTTGGACGATCCAGGCTTTGACATAACATCATTAAGGATATTAATAAGCATTGGCCTGACCACGTCAGAAAGGTACTTCACCATGTGGCTAGTCAAGTCATTCCATTGCTCTTCGAACATCCTTTTCATAGTTAGTAACAGCTAGGGGTGAGCGCGGTTCCAGGGTAGAACCGGGAACCGGAGAATCGGACCCGGTGGGTCCGGTTCGGTTCCAGGTTCCATGGACAGAGGGTCCAGTTCTCGGTTCCGTTTTTTAGGAACCGGTTCCTATAGGAACCGGTTCCTATAGGAACCGGAACCGGAACCCGGAACCGGAACCAAGAACCGGGACTAGGAACCGGATCCCTAAAAATTAAAACATAAACTACACATTTGGTATTTAGAAACCCTAATTCCCAAATGCTAGCTTCTCCTCTTGAATCACCGATCTAGCTTCTCCTCTTGAATCACCGATCCTCCATCATTGTCCCTCCCGCTTCCACTTCCGCCTCGCTCCCGCTTCTCGCCTTTGCTCCTCGCTCGGTCGCTCCTGCTTCTACTTCCGTCTCGTTCCCGCTTCGCCTCGCTCGTTGCTCCGCTCTTTCGCCTTGCTCCTCGCTCCGGCTTCCGCGGTTCTCTCCCGCTTCCGCCTCGCTCCGCCTTCTTCGCCGCAGTCTCGTGATCTCCCCACGCGATCGCTCCGATTATTCGGGCTCGCTCGGACATTTTCCAGGTTAGGCTCGACGAACGTTTCTTCTTGTCCTCACCTTGTTCCGTTCCTTATTATTTTTTATGGGTTTCTTCATTATTCGGGATTAAATAGTACATTGTTAGAGTATTTGCTCGAGCGAGAATTCTGCGAGAGCGAAGAGTACTCTCTCCGACCGGTGGACTCGGAGCAATGGATATTGTTTCTTTCCCTTTTTTCTTTCCGGGTTTTTCTTGTAGTGCTCCGTCGTCGTTGCTGCTCTCTTTGTTCCCTTTTAGTGAGCAAGAGGAGGAGGTGGACGGAGGACGGTTTTTTTCTTCTTTTTCTTTTATTTTTTTCATACATTTTTCGGATAGGATTTTCGGATCTTGGGTGGGTTGCGTTTTGAGGTCGAGATGGTTCATAGCTGAGTGGGGAGTTCAAGCGATCTTGAAGGTGTAGGTGGGTCGTCTGCTTGTTGGGAAATTCTTTTTCTTGATAATGCTCATGACTTTCTGTGTTTGAGAATTTTGGGATATTCTCTGGGAAGGTCCTTTAGCTCATTCGGCTGTACTTTCGTGTTCGAGAAAGGAATTCGAATATAGATTGTTCCGTTGTTGTGGCGCTTGTTACTTAGAAGGGAGTGGAATCCGGTGAGGGAACCGTGATCTATGCGAATAGCATTCCGGGTTGGGAACTGGGTCTTGGTTCTTGGTTCTTGAAATCGCGTGAGTGAGCAAAATTTATGGGACGTGGTCTGTTTAGGGCAAGTGACTTTCTCCTAGCGTGCTTCAAGACCTTGAATTGGTGAATGTAGGTGAACCCCGACTAGAATTGCAATATTGGATTATTAGTAATGGGTTGTGCCGCTTCGAGAATTGATGAAGAAGAGAGGGTTCGGGTGTGCAAGGAGAGAAAGAGGTTGATGGAGCAGTTGCTGGATTCATTTTCTATAATTAGTCTTTTGTATTGTTTTTTATGAATGTTCATTTTCGTTTTGATTAACTAAAAATAAAATAAAATAAAAAGAACCCGTTGGAACCTGGAACCACCCGGAACCTCGTGATGTGGTAGGTTCCGTGTTCCACGTTCCGACGGTAGGTTCCAGTTCCTCATTTTGAGGAACCGTACCCGAGGGTAGGTTCCAGGTTCCAGGCGGAACCTACCCGGAACCTGGAACCGCTCACCCCTAGTAACAGCACAGCACTTGGTTCCAATTGCCTCTTCTGCTCTTCAATGAGTTGTCTGAAATATCAACCTCTCTACCCTGATTTTGTTCTGCCACTACTTGGGCGGTAGATGACTCAAAACGTCCTATCCTGTCATTGTCATGTTGCGGTGACTGGTTGTTACCAACGCCATTGTCAGGATCGGACTGATTTCTTGTTCTGACTATTGTATTTCCTCAAATCAATCACACTAGTCTCACAGAGCATACTAAAAAAATGTTTCACTGGAATTTGTCTCAACGACAAAATACCTTTCAAATTGACGAGAACGTCCAATTGAAGGCGTCTCTTTGGCAAGAGAGGTTTAAAGGAATGAATATGTCTTCACATATCACTAGTCCTTTTGAGATTATTACCCAAAAAGTCCTAAATTTATTGCACATATGTCAATTCAGTTCTAAACATTTTGATAATTTGCCAATGTAATCAATCCAGCCAATTTTGGCCAAAAATCGATGACGTGGATGCCGGTAATCCTATATGGCATGAACAGCGCTAACGTGAATATTTTTTTTAATATTTTTTGAATTATTTATTTATTTATTCTTTTCTTTTTCTTTTTCTCTTTTTTTCTTCTATTTTCGTTCTTTTCTTTTTCTTTCATTGTGGCTGACGATAGCCACGAAACCCACACCGACTACTGGTGATAGTCACGGCCCTCGCTCAGCCTAGCCCAGATCTAGGCGAGGCCATGGCGATGCTAGTTTCGCCCAAACCATCACGGCCACGGGTGAGGCCGCCTTGCCCAGATCTAGGGAAAGTCGCCTTGCCATGGCCTAGCCAATTGGCTGCCTTCGCCCCCGCTGGCCTGGCCCAAATCTAGGCAAGGCAGCTTTCACCTAGTGGGCGTCAAGCTCCAGTGACCCTTACCAGCCATAGTGAAAAAAATTATCCATGTCGGCACCAACCATGCCACGTAGGACGATCGGTGTCTACATCAGCGATTTCCGACTAAAATTGATAGGATAGACTACATTAGCAAGTTATGAAAAGGTTTAGGAATAAATTGGCTAAATTAAAATATTTAGGACTGAATTGGTACAAGTTCAATGGGTGTATGACTTTTTTGGAAATTTTTCCTTTCTCAATTGTATGTGTCGAAATAAGAGAACAGGCGACCGTTTTCATTCACAATGATACGTAAGAACGTAGAGACAATAGACTACAATCACATTAATTGACAGCTCAAGCATCTTTGAATTTTCTCGTAGAATTGTAGGGAGGGGCTGATCCAGAAAGGAAGAACGATACTGGTGTACCGTGAGGCAATATACGGAACAATCAAAAGCATTGGTAACTGTCGAACAAGGTTGGCAATTCATCTTTTAATTAGACAATTCTTATGGGCTGGTAATTCAGCAAATCATGGCTCGCATAAGGTTGCATGACAAGTAGTATGCTCACCTAAAAGGGAAGGAGGATTAAGATTGCCGAATTTGAACTTATGGAACAAAGTATTGCTAGGTCGCATGCTGTGGAATCTTATCAATCTTCCATCCTCTTCCCTTTGGAGTACTTGGGTTCACAACACCAAATGCAGAGGCACCCCAATTATGCAGCTCGACATCAAGGGTAGTATGGCTTGGAGCTGGAGATGTCTCCTCAAACTGCGACCCGTTCTAACATCGATTATACCGAGCCCAAAATACTGTTGCCAAGATATATATGATGAACTCATACATGTGAGACCAGCTGTGGAGTGGTATAACCTAATTTGGACCAGCAGCATTAGCAAACACAATTTTATTGGTTGGCTAGTTTGCAGAGATAGACTACCTATAACAAGAATCGTCGCACAATGGATACCTTCAGTTGATATTCAGTGTAATTTCTGTAGGGCTGGTATTGAAGACAAAACATATTTATTCTTTGAGTGTGAATGGACAAACAACATATGGCGTTGTATCCTAGCACAACATAGGATCAGGCGCCTTTTAGGAGGATGGAATGAAGAACTTCAATGGATGATTAGGGCAACAAAAGGCAAAGACTTGGCAGCAAGACTCCTCAAGTTGTCCTTTCTAGCAACCATATATTGCATTTGGATGGAGCGCAATAGCATACGGTTTCAAAACAAGTCAACTGACTTTAATATTCTTTTGGTTAAGATTCGTAAAAACGTCAGAGGTAGAGCTTCGCTCTACTAAAAAATTAGACTTTCCCAGACAAATGTTGTATTAGCTACTATATGGAGACTTCCTACCTCCATCCTTTTGAATTATTAGCACTTTTTGTAATGCTGGGGGATGCCCCTAAGCTGCTATACTTCATCTGGTTTATAATACTTATATTCACACCCAAAAAAAAAAACTGTCCAATCTCGTTTGTGACGAAAGGTTAACTAACAACTTGCTAAGCCCATCAAATATAATTAACTTGGCGACACCTTTAGAAAAATATATAACTTATATGATTTTTTTATGTTACCAATCGTTCCGGACACTTCCTACATTAATTTTCGTTTAAGTAACTAGCGTGTAATGGTATTAGTTTTTATAGGGAAAGGTACCAAAAAAGTCATAAACCTTTTAATTTGATCAATTAGTCTTAAATAGTTTCGCATTAGTACCATTTCAGTCCATCCAGCCAATTTAGGATGGAAATCGCTGATGTAGACACCGGTAGTGCTACGTGGACAAATTTTATAATTTTTTAATAATTTTTTCATTTTTCATTTTTTTCATTATTTCTCTTTTTTTCTTTTCCTAGAACAGATTGGCTGACAATGGTCGGCCAGCGACCTCGTCGGCCACCGGAGAGGGCTACCGCACCCTTACAGGCCACAGGTGAGGGCGTCAGGCCTCACCCAGATCCAGGCGAGGACCGAAACCCTCGTCTGTTGGCCTATGAGGGCAGCGACGCAATCATCTGGATCTGGGCAAGGGCCCAACGCCCTCGCCTATGACCGGTGAGGGTTTCAGCCCTTGCCCGTGATCGGTGAGGGCACGGCGGCCCTCGCCCATGGCTAGCGAGGGTGCGAGGGCCCTCGCGCCAAACCAGTTGAAGGTTGTCGGCCCTCGCCTGTGGCCGGCGATGGTCGGTCGGCGACCTCGCCAACTAACTAGTTCTGGGAAAAGAAAAAAAAGAGAAAAATGAAAAAAAAAAACATTAGAAAAATTATAAAATTTGTCCACGTCAGCGCCTGCGGTGCCACGTAGGACTGCCGGCATCCACATTAGCGATATCCTGTCTAAATTGGTCGGATGGACTGAATTGTTACCAATGTGAAAATGTTTAGGATTAAATTGGTCCAATTGAAAGGTTTATGACTGAATTGATACCATGCAATGATACCAATGCAATAGGTTTAGGACTTTTTTGGTACTTTTCCCCTTTTTTTATATGAATTTTACTAACCTTAATTTGAGTCACCTACTAATATCAATGTTTATCTAATTCTTCCAATTTACCAACTATTCCGATAATTTACTACAACTAATTGAGTCGGTTAGCACCGTGTTAAATTTACCATATATAAGTTGGTAATTTCGTGTAAGAGTTAGAAACAGCTTCATATGTTGGTAGATTATAAGAACATTTCACAATTAGAAAACAATCGAATAATTGCTTGTAAATTTTGAAATAGATGAATATCTGTTATAAGCCTTGGATCTTTAACCAATTAATCAACTCCCAAATATATGTTTGTAAAATCATTGGAACAGTTGGTACTTTTGAAACAATCAAATTAACGTTTATTAGTAGAATCAAATAAAATTTGGTAATTTTGTATTAAAATCGGTAGCTTAGCAAGTTGGTAAGTTGAACAAATAAATTTTGGTAAAGGGATAAGTGCAATCAAAATCCTAAAACTTTCAATAAAGTGCAATCACATTTTAAAATTTTTAATTTGTGCAATCAAATCCAAAAACTTGACCGAAAAGTACAATCAAGTATCTTGTTAACTCAAACCTATCTTTTTTTTTTTGGTAAAAACTCTATCGTATTTGAGTGATTGAAAATGCTAACAAGAGTTTTTCAAAGGGTTAATGCCACGAAATACCCCAAACTGGTACACCTATGATAATTTTACCCCAAATTAATTTTTTCACCACCAAAAATCTCAAACTGGTACACCTGTGATAAATGTATCCCGAACTATTTTTTTGACCACCAAAAACCCCACACTGGTATACTTGTGACAATTTTACCCCGAACTAATTTTTTTGCCATCAAAAATCCTAAACTGGTATACTTATGACAATTTTACCCCAAACTAGTACATTCGTGATAAATTTACCCTCTGTTAGTGTCCATTAAATTGGATTAATATTACGAAAATCACAAATTGGTAAATTTGTGACAAACTGAGGGGTAAAACCCCAAACTGGTATACCCGCCAACTATCACGTGTCATCAAACTTAGCAATTTGTCAGTAAAATTTAACGGAAACTAACGGAGGGTAAATTTGTTACAGATGTACCAGTTTCATGTTTTTTATGGTCAAAAATTTAGTTTGGGGTAAAATTGCCACAGGTGTACAAGTGTGGAATTTTTTGTGGTCAAAAAAATAGTTCGGGATAAAATTGTCACATGTGTACCGATTTAGGGTTTTTTGTGGTCAAAAAAATAATTCGAGGTAAATTTATCACAGATGTATCAGTTTAGGGTTTTTCGTGGTATTAATCCTGTTTTTTCAAAAATCTTTCGAGTCCATGTGGTCCTGATTTTGCGCTAAGTGGGCTCCAGGTCACTATGCTCTCCCTTTTTCTTTTTGTTATTTTTTATTTTCTCTCTTTATTTTTTTAATTTTGATTATTTTATTCATGTAATATCGGCATGACACCAAATTAGTGCCCACATGGCCTCGAAAAATATTTTAAAAAGTCACATCAATGGTTCCTGTTACTTAAATTAAATAGAGTTAATGGAGATACTTGATTGCACTTTTTTGCAACTGGTACATTTGTGAGAGAGAGAGATGAAAGTTTTTGAATTTGATTGTAATTTCGTTAGAAGTTTTAGAATTTTGATTGCGTTCATCCCTTTTGGTATATTATAGAAACAATTGGTAAATGATAATTCATAAGCCGTCAAATAATTAATGATAATCAACTCAAATAAGAGCTAACGATTTCATATAAGAATTGGCAACTTAAATGCACCAAGAAAATGTTGGTAAATTATATGAAAGGTCAGCAATTTTCAAAGCGTATTGATAATTTCATATAAAAACTGTTGACTTTAATCCGTTGGTTAGAACAGTAGGTACTTTTGAAACAATCGAAC